GCTGGGAATTTAGCTCCTTAAATTAAAATTAAATTTAACTCCTTAATTGAACACATTTTGAGGTTAATGTCATTTGGAGGTGGGCCCTTCAGGAGGTAATTAGGACTAGGTGAGGTCATAAGAGTGGGCTTCCTGACAGCCTTAATATCTTTATAAGAAGGCAAAGAGAGACCCAAGCTAGCAGGCTTGCTGACTTTCCATGTGATGCCTCCACCATGTTAGAATGCAAGAAGAAGGCCCTCACCAGATGCAGAGCAGATGTTGGTGCCAGGCTCTTGAACTTCACAGCCTCCAGCACAGTAAGCCAAAAACTTCTAGTATTTATAAATTACCCGGCCTCAGATATTTTGTTACAGCAACAGAAAACACATTAAAAACACACCACTTATGCCAAATGGCTTAAGGTTATGTCTGGACTCCATTCCTGTTCTAGTTGTCAGGATACAGTATCTTTAATCTCACTCCTTCTGGCAGCTTCAGCTGTTGTCTGCTGGCATATAAACACCCACAAGCCTAGATTATTGTCATATATACAAACCAAACTTTACCTGACTCTCTTTCCTCTTCTCATCATTGTCTTCTGGTCTTTCTCAAGTTAAGAAAGTATTCCACACACGGTCATTACTTCTCAGCCTCTCTTCAATCTTCAGTTTACCACCTACCTCCTATTTTACTATTTTACTGAAGCTGCTTTCTAAGCCAGAGTAAGCTAAATTATGATGGGTCTAAAGGTTACACTAAGGAGTTTATCTTAAGACCTTGGCTATGACAGGAAAAAAATTAAGTAATGTAAAACAACCAGAACTTCATTTAAAAATAAATGCTTTATAAATGTTGGAGGAAGGGTGGTCTAGAAGACCATGGATGATCCAAGTCTTAATCACAGAAAGACATGCAAGCTGGGGAACTCTTGCACCATCATTATAGTAAAACTTGAGAAGAGTCACAGAGGAAGATCCACAGAGAGAAGGAAGTGGAGGGATGGACACAGACCCCAGCACCATGGACTCCCCCATCCTCTCCTATTCTCCCAACCTGCTTCTCCTTCTGTCCCAGGAGGCTACAGGGTGTGTCTCTTCTCCTCGGGGTCCACCTCCTCCTGCCTTGTCTATCTAGTCAATATGAAGAAGAAAACAGACTTCTAGCACATATTTTAAAGGGAAGAGTCTCACAGTACCAGAAGCACTTTTGTGTTTTTCAAGTGTTAGAGTAGTTAGGTCTTGGTTGAAAATACCATAGTGTGTTTTAGCCCAGGATTCTGGATTTCATTGGAAAGTTTTATTTGTAAAGTTTTAATTGATCTATTTATTATTGAACAAAGAATTAATAGTAGCATAAAACTTTTTTTAATAGAAATTGACTATTCTTATTAGAACTTTTATCTAATTGATTTTTGATTCACCCTTGAAAAATTTAAGCAAGTTTTTAGAAACTGAAAAATTTTAAAAAATCACAGCAAATGATGCAAAAAAAAAGCAAGTGATGCAAATTATTATACTTTTTTGTTATTAAATCAAAATTTGGGAGGTGAAAGGGGTCACTTTAAAATGAAACTACTGAAGTCCTGGAATCATTATCTATGTATTTTGGGAAAAATTAACTTATAACCATTAATTAATACCTTAGAGCAATAAATTAGAGATTAATTAAGTGGTCAAATATAAATGTTAAAATTTTGAAAGAAATAGGGTAAATATTTATTCAATATTATTGTAGAAAAGGCTATACTCAGCAAATCAATAAAGAATGAAAAAAGACAAGATTCTACTGGAAATTATTATAAAATTTATAAAATTAAGACTTATTTGCACAGATATAAAATTACCATGATACAAATTATGAGACAAATGATAATCTTAGAAAATATATTTGAAATATTTTACAAAGTGCTGTGATTTTTAAAAATACAAAAAGTCCATAAAATTTTATAAGATAAATATTTCAACAGAAAATTGTTCAAAGCGCAAAAGAAAAAATGATCAACATATACATAAAAGTATGTCAAGCTACCAGTATGTGGATATTCAAAATTCTAAAAAAATATATTTTGACCTTTATATTAGTTAATAATAAGTTTGTTGCTAATGAAATGTCCCTTACATATTTGAAATGAATGTAAATTTGCACACCCTTCCTGGRAAATAATTTGAGGATATCTTATAAAAAGCCCTTATATTACTACTTATAATATGATAATTATAATATTATGATTACTTTTAAGAAAACAATCATAAGTCTACAAAAATTTCTATAGAATGATAGTTATAATAGTATTTTTTTTGTATCAATTCTGGAAATAATCCACATGTTCCACAATGTTTATTTAAAAATTAACAATAATATATTGATTTATGAAATAAAGTTATGTAAAAAGAGAAGCAATATATACTTGTGATTTTTATGTTAAATAGTTAAGAGTAGGAGAATCAGTATTGTTTGTTTTAAAACATTACACTTAGGTATAGGAAAAAGATTAGAAGTTTATAAATCTAAATTTTAATTGTGGTTAAGTTTAGATGGAAGATGGTGATTTTATATTAATCTTTATGCTTCTAATATGAAAACAAAAGCAAGTAAATGACTGAAAGGAGGAAAGGAAAGAGATTTCCTGTTCAGTGGTTTAATTTTACAAGTCTCTTGTTAGATAACCAGTTCAAATCAAGTGACTAGTAGTGTAACTGCCACAAAACCCACTTGTCCCAATTCTCACTAGAGTTCTTCCTCTAAAATACAGGCCATCCTCCGCTCTACACAAAGGTTTATAGAAAGCAAGATGAAGGGAGCATTTGTTATAGTAAATTTAATTCCTCATTTTCCAAGAAGTTAACTGCACTTACAAAAAATCGAAAATGTCCCACCCCAGAAAACTCCAGCATGGTTGGCTGCTCTTGTGTTTTCTGACAAGGCACACCATCTGTCCCCAACTGGCAACAGGTGGGATGGATATGGACACTCGGGAGAGGGCCAAGGTCATAGAACACGCACCGAGCACAGGAAACCTGCCACAGCTGCCACTTCATCTGCGGGCACGATGTAGTCCTAGGCACTGTAGCATGGTGTTCACCATGTCCTGAGGCCCGTGTGGCACGTGACACCAAGGATACTTCACTCAAGTAACCTCTAAGTTGAGACAGCCCAGGAGAAGAAGGTGAACCTGAACCATATCTAAGAAGAATCTCTCTCTCTCCTTGACACTTTTAAACAGCTTCATTTGCTTTCCTGACTTCTCATTTTTTWAAAAAWTTYYT